ATAGTTTCGAATCGAAATTTAAATTGACTTTTATTAACAAAGTCCGGTATCAAGATGGGAACATTTTTTTACTCAACGTATAAAAACTGAAGACGGTTATCTCGATCCGGTAACGCTTTACAAGTAAAACTGCATCTTTATATTAAAATTGTTTTTTTAAACTACAATGTAGTCAAATGCAATATGCAGTTAATACTTTATCAAAGATATCTCTGTGGCACCGTATAAAATTCAAGAAGATGCATGAAGTCGCTTTCGCGTCAAGATAGAAACCGTATCTAATCGAAATCAGATAACCAAGTGTCTAAGTATTCTCATCTCTTGGTCAGAGTCTTACCGACTGTGACTAAGGAAGTCGGTAATTCTCACGGATACCATTCGGCAAAACTTTATTCTGAAAAATCTCCGCGCGATTATCCAAGGTGATTCTCCACTCGTCATTAGCAGTACGAGTGACGAGTGACGATATCTGAACGATTACATAAAAAACAGTAAACTGTCGGCAATCCCAGTGTAAGATAGAAACACACGAGGATCTTGAGATACCATCTCACGGTGGAACGGCATTCTTTTGTTCATGGACAGTAAAAGGATACCAAGAATGTATTATATTATATATAGATATACACTTTTACATGTGTCCGTCTGTCGTCTATGGAACGAGCAACTTTGTACAATACTATTGTTTTTGTTACTCTAGATATAAAACACATCTATCCTGAGAATCGTTGTTTCGGGTTCATCTTCGAGTCACATCGTATACCGGCTACAGTATATAAATACATCCGCGCTGGAGATTAGAAACAAGAGAATGGAGACTGAAGAACGGGGTTGTTTTGAAGTCGTGAAATTCGTATTTGCACGTAGTAAACTTTACGTAGTCATTTTGGAATATATCGCTTAACGTATCTAGTGGACGCAGGCCGGCCGACAATTTCCTTTCGGTATACGAGAGTAGGATTTTCGTAGCGAGGCAGGAACTACCTACCCCTTTATAATCCTAAAAAATGGTTCCCAGCAGTAATTCACTGACGCCGGCGCCTGGTGGCAGGGCGGTCGTGCTTTATAAATACTATGATTTATTTATCGTATTGGTTCTGTTAATAATGATTTGTTGCTCCGACGGTAAAGCGCCACAGCGCTTTCCAGTCTCTTGCGTTCTACGTTTACGGGGATGGACGTAAATTACAGTTCAAGTTACGTTGGGACAATCAGAGGGTCTTCTATGTAGTCTACGACCAACGAACTACTAGAGGGCTCACTCTACCTAGTCTAGATCTTCTTTACGTACTCGTGAATAAAATTGGAAAACACGTGAATATACTTGGTAGCTTGAACGATTTTTTAGAAAAAGTTAAACTGTAGATTTCACGTAGATGCTGTGTACTAATTTTTAATCCAGAAAAAAAATCGCACTGAAAGAATAGAATTTTGCATTTCTTTAAGTTTTCTCTTACTGAACAAATATTTGACGTGGTCACTGCGGCTTTGAATATATTGGAAGTATATAAACAGTAGGAAACTCGAGGTGGAGGTGGCTTAGTTGATTTATCATTAACAAAATGAAGATCGCGTTTTGCCAATGTTCACAGAAGGAAAGTCAAACATATAAAAGGATACTAGAGACTTTGTTAGTTGACTTTCTTTGACTCCCAAACACCCTCGATACAAACCCATGTTATGATACGCGTATGTTTCGTGCACGAGGACCATACTCGCACCTAAAGAACATAACCAAAATTTATTTATTTACTCGAATTTCTTATCTTCTGTCGGATTGCAACTATCACCCAAATTTTTATTTTCATTATTCCATATTGCGTTGCATTTATGATAAATAATAGAGATTTTCAAACGGTTAGTCATCTGTATGATATATACCTATGTACACAGTATGGTAATTAAATGATAATTTATAAGTAGAATAGGAAATGTGTCTCTTGACATTAGTCTCCGAGTTCTTCCCATGTCTCGCACGTTCCACGTGTATATCAGTTTCGGATTATTTACTCGGTAAATATTAGTCAGAGCTGTATTATTCGATTCTCTAGAAAATTGGTGGTAGTAGGTCGCGGCACGTGTGAGTGCATGCTCATAGAAAAAGTGGAATCGATTGTCCATATTTTCTCTTGTAAATTGTGGATGAATACAATCGATTTAAAATATTGAATTACCCAATATATACAACTCACCTGCTCGTTAGCGAATCGAAATTTTTCATTTCAGCCTATTGTTTCCTATTTCGTTGATATTATTACATAACGGATAATCGAGGCTTAGAATTACCCAGAAGGCCTCTCTACGGTTACCATAGACGTCAGCTAAAGCTGGCATTTCGTTTAACACAATGGACACGAGATATAGCATTAATCGCATCACAACCCCCTATGGCATATATGCATCTGCGATACTAATGCACAGATAGAGTACGTAATCCAGATCAAAGGATAGCTTCCATTTCGCATGGAGGACTAACGCATTCCTGGCAACGGAGATTACGTAAAGGGTCAAAAGAAACAGTGTCAAATTCATGCGTAACCTGCTTCTTTTTCTACATGAAATACATATTTTATAAAATTATATGGCTCGATTGAAAATATTCTCGTTCCAAGCTAATAACGTGCACTGTCAAAAGTTACAGCAATTTGTACGTCAATCTGTCGAAAATTGAAATTTTATTTATCCGAATGACCCGTAGAAGGATTTTCGAAGGCGTAAATGGAGCGACGACAAAGAGATGCCAACAATGGCTAATTCAATTTCACGGGCCCTTTGCGAGCTAATTTGAATAATTTATTGAAAATATTCATTGTGTGCCATCGACAGAAAAATTAATCAGGAATCGATTATATCGTAGAGGAGGGTCCACTCTCTCGTTTTCCATCCTACGATGCTTTCCGATAGGAGTACGTACTTCTTTGTCCATTGATGGATGAATAGCAATTCGGGATGCAGATGGAAAATTCGAAATCCGCTCTCGAGCATCCTATTGACATTTTATTAAGAATCCCCAAGAATACGCCCTAGAAAATTTATGCCAAATGCCGTCAATTGTTCAGAACGATTGTTCTTCCCCTTCTCGATGTGCTTTGTCAAATTATGAATGCCTTTAACACTTTTCGACCCCACACAATCACAAATATACTTAGCCAATCGAGCATCCCTCAATTACACACCCATCAAAATTGACAATATAGCAACTGAATGTATCCAAACAACAATAACTATAGCACAGCTGATATCCCGATGACAATGAAGTATTACACGCTAGCGGAGCTTCTATAGGATGGTAATTAGAACGAAGCGACTGCTTGCGAGATACGAGGCCCCGTCGTACCTACCATTGGCATTGTTTCGAAATTGCTGTATGATCTAAGGTAATTCAAATATCTACATGTATCTATATATGGATTAAATTAAACATACATGTATATACAATATATTTATGTTGCATAACATTACGGTACTGTGATTAACTCTATCCCCCATCATACAAGATTAAAGCCTATCTAACATTTCAAACGTTTCTATACTGTATCGTCCGAAGCCCATCGTTCCCGGGAGCAATATTCTAAGATCCGTCATGATTTAACAGTACGCAAATTAATATCGTATATTTTGCCATGACACGCTATGGTTCTTAAACGGTACGTGGTCTGGGATAACGCCCACTCTTCTGATATGCATCACGCCTTGGGCTTCCGAAGCCTACCGGTGCCCCTGTATCTCTTCCCGTACTACGTACCCGTACATACAGTACATACACGAGTATTCAGATAAATGCAGTTTGGCTACAGGGTAATGCATTGTTTATAGAAAAATAAGATAAATTATGAGGAAACTGGGTTGCTCGTTATAATAGGTCTCCAGCTATACGGCACTAGGTAAGTAACCAGTAAATCAAGAGTTACCCATGGAAACATTCGTAGATCATTGACTTCAATTATACGCAAGGTCATTCAGTATTTCAACCTAATCAAAGTAAGGGCAATGATTGAGTCTACCGTGAATAGATTATGTCGTGTTATGGTACTCATGGATATATACTTATGATGTTCAGTTGTTTCTTGAACTACATAACTGTGTATACTTTTGTACAGGCGTGCGTATACTCGCACGTATAAATGTTATTCCATGCACGATTTTACGTATGTGAAAAAAAGGCACATACCACTCACCCTGAAACCGGCTTGGAAAGAATCGCTGCGCAGACAGAACGACGAAGAACGTGGGATACCGAAGGCGGGCTCGGCTGTCACTCTAACGGCTTGAAATTCTGGTCCGTGATAAACTGCTGTCGGTACTTCACCTCACTCGTAGCTTCCACGTACACTATAAACAATCCAACCACCACGTGGGCGTTCAGTGTTTTGCTGAAAGTGGCATTTTAGACGTGGGGGCCATGGGCGTGCTCGATTCATTTCTATTCGTAGAGACGGTAGACTGAAATGATCCTGGGCTTAAAAAAGAGAAGAGGAGCAGAAGAAGAAAAAAAAACCATAAAGATTCGCTGAGAAAGCTGCAGTTGGTAATGGGTTAACGTCTTTGATGTGACTCGGTGCTTCCCGACTGCGTTGAGTCTATACGTGAGCGCCACAGCTTCATTCTGTCAGTCATGGGAATTATGTGTGAAATTAGATTTTTGTCCGCGTTCCTAGCCAGCAGCGACCTAGATTCGCTGCTGAACTTTGCGAAACAATAACTTTCTTTTCTGACGCGAGTGCCGGAAAAATAAAATACTATAGGTCTTTTAATCCCATAAAGCGTTAAATCAGCTGACTGCAGGTGCCACGGTTGATGAAGCTTAACGCGTGCTAAATTCCAAGTTTTGTAGAATAGTTTTATACGTGCGGTTCCTTGTTCTTGTTTGGTTATTTTTATTATCTTCTTTTTGCAATTAAACGTGAATTGTGAATCTGGATGAAAAGCGTGAAAAAGTTTTGATAAAATAAAAATTAATGAAAAGTCTTATAATGGTATTCATTTGATTTTAGCATTCCTCATAGAGCACGCATGGCGCAGGTCGTGTTTCTCCCTATGCGTTTCTTCGGAAGTGATTGCATATTCACTCCTTGTTGAATCGTGACAATGAGCACTTTGCATGCACCTGTGAAGATAAATAACGTGACAATAAAAAAAAAATCACCATCCCCGAAGAAACTTATATGTAGGTGCGAAATGGGTTTACCAGGAAGCAGGCATCGTGGGCTTTGATTTTTCCGTATATTTTCACACAAGTGTGTCGAATTGTATCTAATGCATATTGGTAGAGGACGTGCACGTTGTCGATCTTTGATCGTAAGATGCAATGCACTAATGCACGTTAAATAACAATATTAACATAATTCACGCACGACAAACTTCCAGCAAAAGCCGTTACCGCTCGACTGGCTCCTTCGAAGCAGCCAGCAGGCTGCATTTCAACGCACCACCGATATAAATCTCGAGGGTTCACTTCCTCCGGCAAGCATTCACCAATAAGAATAAAAATATTAGAAAACAATCTTGAACGTCCTGAATAGCTGCTTCATTGGTGGGACGTTATTGTGATTCAAGTGGCTGGGTACCTACTTCTAGGAGGCCAATTATAAAGTACCTAAGCTTTGTGACTAATGCGAAGCGAAGGAGAAAAGACCGTTTTTCATGGTTGGTAGTCCACGATTATTTCCATGCACAAGCTTCGTTCGAGAAGATGTTGAAAGCATTCATAAATATATCTATACCAATATACCTATATGTAAAATCAAAAAGATTACAACGAATCAGCATCGTCTTTTTCGATGTGAAATGTATTCGTTGGAACGCCTTTGAAACTTTTCGTTACTAATGAAAAGGATGAAGATAAAAAAAAAGTTGAAACAGGAATAACAGAGAAGGAGATCGAGATTGCAGATTAACCTTTCTCGCTACTAAATTGGTACACCTCCCGGCTCAGTTCCTTCGTTTCTCACGTCCCTTGTATTAGTTTACTTTTGCTGCAATTACATCCGATAGTACCCACGGGACGACTAAACTTCCTGGAGACGCGACATGATTTCTCTCAGGAATACGTAGGAACCGCCTGTAGCTCGCTTCTGCATGCAACTGCCAAAGCGGCGCAGCCTTCTGAAACAACTTGAAATGCGCGCGGTTCTGGAAGCTCTGTTGTTATTTTATTGTTTGGGTCCTACATCTATACTGCGCGGTGTTGCTACTGTTATGATGTGCTAGTTTTTTGCCACCTACATTATCGGAGCAGTAACTACACAAATCGAAATACTTGTGCTTATATACGTATCCGCAACTGCACTCAAACTTTTTTGCGCTAATCTCTCTCGGGTAACATTCAATCAAATCATATTCACGATTTGTCTATAGAAAAACGTATATACCCCCCTCCTCCGCTGCCGTCTATGTTCTGTTGCCAAAAAACTGAAAAGATCGCGATTTATCGTCGGAGATGTTATCGCTCGCTTTTGTAGAACAGGCTCTAATAAGGACAAAGCACGCAGTGGAAGGCCTCGAGTTATTTCCAAAGCAAAGGACCGGGCATTGGAAATAATATAAAAAATGAATAGGAAGCTTACTGCATGGGAAATTTAAATACGGTTCAATGAAATTTATGAAAAATAGATATCATTAATTACTGCTAAGGATCGCTTGCACAGAGCCGGCCTTTGAGACAGTGTTTGTACTAAGAAACCAATTTTACAGCAGGTAAATAGGAAGCATTCCTTCAATTCGCTCAAATGCTGGATCATTCAATATTAAAAGCGAATTTTATAGAGTGACGTTTTACTTTTAATTTTTCCCAATTTAAAACCTTGCACGGACATTTTTGGACAGCAGTATACATCACGGATACTGCGTACTAAACGGCGAATTTCTAGACAATGGTCCTGCTTTGTATTGTGGCAAAGCGTGAAAACACGCGTGACGTACTAGACAATTATTTCCATGCTGTCGTAGGCCGTAGAAACATTGTAGTATCCTGCGCTTCGGTAGTACTCAATGGCGTATCATGTGGGGGCGAAGAAATTTCGTTTATACCATTCGTCTTCGCACTTAAAATCTGTACTACACATTCAAGACTCAACATTCTGGACCAAAGTGCAAAACGGCTAGCGCAATGACGCAATAACATACAACTATTATCGATAAAGGTCGCTGGATAAAGAAGAACTGTGAAGTACTACCACTAGCGCTCACCACGGTAAAATGTTTAAGTTCTAGACGAGGAAAATCTGATAGTTGCCAGCTAGATCTATTCGCACCCAAAAAATCTTTTTATCGGTTTCATTTTGAGTATCTCAGTAACACGGTGTATTTCTGATGTGTATTTTTTAATCCTTCCGTACCCCTTTCTTATATTCGTCTTATAGTTTCGTAAAATAATGTGACAATTGCTACATCATGATGGACGAAGGCCATAACGTCGACCGTGATACCTCGACCAGTTTATCAGTATTCATGTCTATTAATTTTTTATGAATTTTTTAGAGCATAATCGAAAAATTCGTTTCCGCAAGGACCGAGATTTCTTTGGTGACAGTGATTTTGGGTCTCAATTTTTGGGTGTGAAATTTCCTGTAGTCCTTGTTTGTGTGAATCACCCAACACGTAGAAAAGTCACTGCGGTTCTCCCGTAAAGAAACGTCTGCCGTTTCTACCTTTCGACTAATTACTTTCCACGCGAGTTTTACTTCTGTAATTGTCGTTTTCCTGCCAAGGATGGCAAAAACCATGTTTTGCTCCTAGAGATGCAACAGGAACATCTTTTTCATAGATGATAGTGTACAGTTTCGCAATTTCTTTAACATTAGTGTAGCTTTTTCTTCTCAAGTCGCTCTCTTAGTCTACAGTTACTTATAGTCTTCTTTCGCGAAAATATTAGTTCATGCAAAGCGTTAAAGGAAGTGTATAGCGTCAGTTATATAGTATGGATTTGTAGTTTGAGCAGTGTTTTTAAGTATTAAAGAAAATTGTGTACCTAAAACTAAAGCGTTTCAAGGATGGATCATAGGGATAATAAAAGAAGAGAAGATTTTAACCTTTTCTCGTACTTATGTTACCCTAATATCAAAACTGATTTAATCCCACGAATATTCATTATAATTCACAGGATGTAATGGATTTTCCTGTAAATTGTTAAAACTTCCTTTTGGCTGTTTGAGCTTAAGATAATTTTACCCGTTAATTGCTCCTAATGGGGTGCTTAAAATATATCAAATGATATCATCGCATGAATTAAATTACAGAAAAATGATTCGTTTCATCTAACTCCTATAATGTTGCACCATCTGTACGGTATTTACATCCTATTCTAAGATAAATATTCAAGCTTATAATGAGCATCGTATTATATCTATAGACGAAAACCGATACCCATGAAATAAAGTGAATCAAGCAAAACGACCTGAGTGGAGTTATATTAAATTTTGAAAACAGAAGATAATTTTGACTTTAAACCGATTTAAGTTCCAAACTAACTGTACCGGAAATCGACGTAATTTCGTGAACTTTAATATCCATTTATCCCGAAAGATATTTGACGTTATTAATTTACATCGTTAAGTTTACCAACTGTATGTTGTTGCGCAGAAGAGCAATAGGAGAGAACAACAAGAACTAGGGTTTCATCGCTACGGGCCAAGAAGTCAGTACATTGTAATTACACCCAGCACAACTTCTCACTCCACCTCACTATAATACATGTATGCAGTTTCAGTAACACGTACGTGAAATTTCCAGGTGCAAGTTAATTCCAAGCAAGTACGTAGCAACGTCCCTAAGCTATGTTTAAAAATATAAATTTCTAAAATCGTTGATCCCTAGAAGAAGTCAAGAAGCTTCCTGCTCGTAACTCTTGTGCAAGCTTTTTAACGATTTAATGATAACTCAAGTGCAATGGACGATTGCACGCTCGATGAACGCGAATGAAAATATTGGCGCACAAGTATAGTATAGAGGAGTATTGCGCTGATCTGTTGGTTCGAATCTTCGTCGTGCACAGGCAAAATCTGCCCCAGGTCATACAACGTAGGAAATAAACCCAACCGCCATTCTTTGTGCCGTGCGCGATATTAGATTGTCAGTTAGATACAACGCGCTCCGCCTTTAGCTACTAGCAACTACTATTTTGCTTCTCACTTGAATGAGCGCCAACGCACACGGCCGTGGAACAATATTCACATTTTTATCGTTCGAACAAAACCACTTACGTCCATGATGAGTTGTTACTTACCCAGGGCTATGCGATCCATGAATATGTATCAGCATTCTCCATCGTGTTCGGAAAGTGCCGAGCGCAAAACACTGTACTGGCTGTACGACTTTATCGAACTACGAGAGTCAATAGTTTCGTTCTTGATGCCAGCAGTAAGTTGGCTAATGTGTATTTCCAACGGAGAGAATAAAAAGGGTGTCTGAAACAATACAAGTTTCTTTGTGATAACTACACTGTGTCATTAACTTTATGAAAAAAGTTTTGTAAAATTTTATAAAATCGATATCGGTTACACCTTTTGAAATTAGCCATTCTTTAATAATAACGGTTAATGCGTAAAAAGGTGCTACTCCTGTTTTAAAAATAATGCTTAGCTAAGATGCTGGAGATATTTCTTAGAAAGAGTTATGACTCAGGAACCTGTTTCCTCCCTCGTCGGACAGGTTTAATTTCTTTGGGTAATAAAAATGGCAGAAATTTGTCGGTGGATGTTAAGGAAAAAGTTAATTCGCGCCAGGGGTGGATATAGTCTGTAATTAACATTATAAACATTTTACAGAAATTTCTTCGATACTCTTCCTTAATAAAATCATAATAAATCTAGTCAAACCCAAATTATGGAAAAAAAAACTATGCAACGCATCGCATTATATGCAAGTTTCAATTTTGTACAATTTTTTATCAACAAGATTGCTATTGCCAACGATTACTTTAAAGTCCTTTATGACCAAATATTAATTGTATCTTTTCTCACTGATATTTACTCAATCTTTTTCTTTTTTAATACCGTAAAGAAGGCACCGCTCTATTATCTGACACTATTAGCAATATTAGCATGGTAACGTTAACTTTCCTCATAAAACTTAAGCGCTGTAACTGAGTGGCCACTGCGGTAGCGAACGCTGTATTCATACCGATGCATAGAGGTAGTACCCACTGACGTATAAGCAATGGGTGCAGCCAGGTAAAGAATATTACCTGCATTTATGATATGTTAGGTTATGTCTCCATTAGGTAAGCTTAACGTGTCGCTAATGTAACGCGCACTCAAACCCAGTGCCTGGTTTTGCAAACTCAAGTAAGAACATAATGGCGCAGCAGTTATCTGCATAATGCTTCTGTCGTGTTCCGTAAAAACGTTTGCTTTGCTTTATCATTTCAAAGGGAGAAGATACTTTGACTTTTTATCACGAAATTAACTACGTGGATATATATGTATATGTATATATAGCAGGATTGATCATTAAAATTTTTATATTTCACGTTCATTGCGCGTATCTGCATATTTTAATTAGTTCAAAACCAGTTATGTTCAGTTACTAGTTTTACCGTAATCATTTGTAGATATTGATTTAGAATGTTTTATGGAAATATTACGATATTGTAATATCACGTAGGGTCTGCCATGTATACGCAAGGCTATGGCATATATCTACGTAGGTGCAATGGGAGTCTAGCAGGGAAACCGTGCAGAGACCGGGATAAGAAGATAGTAGAGATACTTCTAGGAACATCGCGCTAACGTTATTCGTGGGGGAACGGTAACCAACCTTGATTTCGAAAGATAGCGGAACCGTAGTACATTCTCAAAAGTTTAAAGTTTCTCATTCTCGTTCATCTTATCCACCAGAAATTACAATAAATTATAACTAATCTATTTGCACGTTGAAAACTTTTCTTCATACTGACATTTGAATCTCGTTCAAAGAAAATCCATGTTATCTTGGCTCGTCCTGCAAGAGAATTCAAAATATGAAAAAAAATAATTTTTCACTCTAGGTATTTTGAAAAACTTGCAGGCAGCTGTAAAGCCGGAAAATGTCCTCATTTTGCTAATAGAGTGGACACAAAGAAAAAGGAAAAAAAAATGACGGAGAAGAAAAATAAGAAAAATGATATATACAGACAAAAACATTCTCAAGCTTTTCCGTAACATATTGTTAGGTGCAATCAGCGCCTTAGCAACAGCTGAGACCTTCAGGGGTTGAAGGTAAGGAGGTTGGGAAATATCGAAGGGTCGCCGTATACGGGTCTTGGGGTCTCAGTTGCGTCGAGACGCCGTTATCTTGTCTACGACGCCCCCCGACGCCAAATTTCGGTATTCTCGAAATAGAACGAGATGAGGTGTAAGTCCGTCTGTACGAGCTTCGTCGTTTATTTCATTTCGTTCGGGTACCTACCGTTTTCATCTTTCTCTACGTGGACCATGAGACAAATTTTGTTATTATTAAATTGCAATTGAAATTTTTTACTTAAACTATTCTGATTAGAATGTCAAGACAATTAATTTGTCTCATGCAGGTAACGATTCTGTGAATTATCCATGATATTATATTATCCCTGTTTCCAAGAAAATGCAGATTCTAGGATGATAATGCCGGAAACTACCTTCTCGGTAAGATGAGAGGGGACCAGGAAGGGATTCACCGTGTAATTCGTGTAACTTCGTGTACGAGTCTGAAATACTATTATGAAGATAACAATGGTACCGTACGCAAGGTACATCCCACGATAGTGTAACGGTAAATTTAACTATTGCCAACTTGCTCTCCTAATTTCCAAGTAATTGTGCTGAATTGCGGCTGTTGTATGGCATTCAAACGAGCCGTGCTATCCGTCACAGCATCCCGTAACCACGGCGATATCCGTTTGATTGATACACACTAATTGTCATTCTAATGGTTAACTTCGAATTATCTAATAATTGTATCCGCGTACGTAAGCGCGTCGTTCTTGTACTGTTACTGAAATTTCATCAAGCTTGTATACTGTAATTAAAAGTATTGGCACGTATGAGATTTACGTATTATACTTATTGAATGAGCGTCGGAGGGTTTTTACGAGATCCTTGAAAATGCGATGTGTTGTTACGTCAAAAATCATTGACCTTTTCAAGACGATAGAGAAGCAAGGATAAAGTAAGGTCCTTGGAGAAAAGAGAAGAATGAAAATGGAAAGGAAAGAATAAAGTAAAGAATGAGAGACATTTGGCATGCGATCCTCGTTCTCGAGGGCGACACCCCAATATCGAGCAGCGAGATTTGTGGCTCACGTGTGAAAAGCGACACAACTTATCGATGATTTATCTTCGTATTTATTTTTTTCGAGGGTTCTGGAGCAATCTTGCGGATCGTGGAATTGGCTTCCCAAAGCAAAGGGTAGTCGGGAAAGAGGATTCCCTATGTAAATTTATGTCCTCCTATCCGATGCTGATATTCGACTGTCGATAAGAAGTATTACATGCTTTTTCTTTCGTCCTGACAAAAATTTGAAAATCCATACGCTTTATAATAACTTATGCAGAGTGTGTAAAGCTCTATCTTATCTTTTAGTGAATAATAAATTTTACTTTTATAACGTTAGACTGTTTGAAAATTTCAGTTTTTTTTTTATTTTCACAACACATTACCGGAAACATAAGAAATTCGTGAATTTAAGTCGAACCGACGAATTTGGCGATCTTATTTTCATGGCCTCTCTATGAATTATTTTATACGTATCCTCGAGAACAAAAGAATATCTTGCGGCGTGAGAGGAAAAAGAAAAGAGGAGTGGCGCTCATTGACTTCAAGGGCGACATTCGAAATTCAACGCGGGGATCTTCGTAATCTGCTCTATGCGAACCTTTACATTACGCTAACGACAACGCAGGATAAAGGTATGGAGATGCGATCTTCTTTTTGCAGGAGGGACCAAAGAGAACTTAATATTGAGAAACGACGTCGCGCTTATCCTAAGTCCTGCCCGAGAAGTGATAAATCTATATATCTCCTTATTTCCTTAGTGTCTCCGCGGGGGCTGTTCCACTCTGAAATGGAAGTGAAAGTTTCGTAGGAAACTAAAATGAAAAAAAGGGAATGGAAGACGCAGCCGGGGAAAAACGTTAGAGGTTAAAAAAAAAGTTACAAAAAACAAAGTCTTTTGCCACTTGAACGAAAAATCATATACCCACGTATGTAACATAATTATACATCGAGCATGTTCTACATTATACAGTGGAACTTCGATAACTCGAATCTCAAGGGAAACGAAATATGCTTCGGAGTTATCGTAGTTTCGATCTATCGGGATTTTCAAATTATAGAAGTTCGAAACATTAGAAAATTTCAAGATTCGTAGTCTTACAGTGGTTTTTGACTTACAGAAATTCATGTTATCAAAGTCCCAATGTAAAACAATTTGATTGGAAATATTTTTAATCTAAATGCTTGCTAAAATGAAAATCAAAGTAAATTATCAAAATTAACATTTTTCATTTTTGATATGAAAGTTTTGATTTCGTTAATTTTGAAAAGTACCTTAGTGTGATAGTATATGTCTACACGTGTCGTATGGTGGGGCATAAAGTACGGAATAAAAAGTAGTTATATCGTGTACCTTTACCGAAAAATCTCGTCAACGTGGAAATATGTAAGGTTATTCCACCCCTTGGTAAAATCTCTTGCGAATCCCACAGCGATTACCGAAATCCAGGCTCGACGTGTCCCCGACATCTCATAGGAATTTAACGACCAGGCGATAACGTTAAGGCAGACGATGCCCGACGTCACGGGACGACGGTAAACTTTGGAAATGACGCCTTTCGAAACGGAAGCATTCGAGTAAAGTTCGCGAGGGTGTCTTAGCCAGGGTGCTCTAAGAGGGTGGATCGCTCATTTTAATGGTATTATCTACATATTTTATATTCCCCAGATGCGCTTCACGAGGAACATGACAACTTTTGCGTATGTAGTATATCGGGGATTAAAATTGGGTACCATGTGATGAAAGTGTCAAAATCCTATTTATGACGTAACGGGTTTATGCTGCCATTGAATCATAAATTTTCTTGACGTCCTAAGTAACAAGGTAGGAACAATGTACTCTTTGACAGTAATCGACTCTCTGATACTCACGTATATTTTTTTAGATACACGGCAATTACGATACCAATTTAATGTAAGAATTATTATGTTTTTCGCAAAGTTTCACCTTTTGTTTTACATGTTAAAACAATTTCTACGGATTTACTGAAATCCCCGTATAACGCTAGGTAAGTACTAAAAGTTAAATATGCATGCAGGACATATTAATTTTTCGCGGCTGCAGTTAAGCGGTAGAAAAACGTATATAAATGCAAAAAGCATAGGATAGAAACGGAAGTTGGCTGCCGAGTAGATTAGCATAAAGAGTCAGTTCATTACGTATCCAGATTATAATTAAATTTTCGTACTAAATTATGAAGACTTATTTTTTACTCTACAAAGCACCATTCGTTATCAGATTTCATGTTAAACAATTTAAATTTTGAACGAATATATATACAATATATGTATCTGTATATTCCTTAATGAATATCGGTATACCAACGTTAATTTCAACTGATTTATCCTTTTTATTCATTTGGGCAATTTACTAATTTGAAATGGCAGTAATCTACAATTATTTCTTGAGATTCAACGATTTCTCCAATTTTATTAAAACGAACGAAGGATAACGATTTCTTCAGTAAGCCCTGCTTTTCATCTCTTACATGAAAATCTTTCTCCCGCGTCAAAGTTTCAAGAAACTTTCGTTCGAAACCTAAGATAAATGCACGCCTTAGAGCAGTAAAAGCGGGGCAGGGTACCATTATGACTTTCAATAATGCGTTAATAGCTCAAGCATAAATCCTCGCTGAGTATAAATTCAACAAAATGGCGTTTGCCTACCGGCCGCGTGAAGACAAACCATCTTAAATTCCACGAAGCAAAACTGTTTCTCAGTACCCTCCGAAGATTCGCCAAAATTAAAACATTTCTCAAGCTTAAGGATTCGAAGCAACGGATTAGTTATATCATCACATCTCGCGTATCAAATGATACTTGTTTAGGTGTGCATACACCCGTAACATACAGGATGACAAATGGGAAGGTGTGAAAACTAATTGATTACTATTTTTAAATACATACAGGAATAAAAAAAACGAAATGATGGTTAAATAGTAGAAACTTCGAGGTTTTATTAAGGAACACAATTGCGTGATTTTAAAAGTTTTATATATTTTGGAAAAGAACATCTTAAGAATACCGAAAATTCGAATAACTGCCTTGAGTTGTTCTCATTGTAAGCCTTTGGGTTGATCGGCGTTACCATTAAGTGTTTTGCCCCTTACGAATTTTCGGTATTTTTAAGATGTTCGTTTCTAAAATATATAAAACTTTTAAAATCATGCAATTGCGTTCCTTAATAAAACCTCAAAGTTTCTATTATTTAACCATCATTTCACTTTTTTTTATTCCTGTACCTGTTCAAAAATAGTAATCAATCAGTTTTCACACTCATTTGTCACGCTGTATATCCTGCCGAATGTTACATTCCTCGTAAAACCATATAGTATGTGAACATTATCGCGATACGTTTATATTTTGGATCTGTCGATTTTTACGGAACACACTAACTTTATACGTTTTATATAATTAATTAATTATATATGAATATTACATAGTAACCGGAATTTGTAAATTCAATTATTGTCCAAATTTTTTCATTCGACTTACATCATTATTTATGAGTAAATGACATACTGAATCAAGTTCCAAGTGCTGTATCTACCGAATGATAGCTATGTAGGAGTATACCAAATTTGTATAAAAATTGCAAAAGGCTCACGATTTCTTGTTAACACACTAATATTCCTTGGTACTGCATTCTCTAGCAAAGGTCCTTACAAAAATATGAATATCGACATCATAAATGTCTCTGATATAAATAATAATCGCTGAACGTAGATTATCGAGAATTTATATGAAGGGGAACTAGGGATGACATTTCTGCAGGTACCTGCGTACCATTTTATTCCGCGAACTTTTTTTTTCAGGAAGCTGTGGAATTTCACAACGAAACGAAGAGAAAGGGAAGGGTGCCTGGGGAAAAAAAGTTAATTTACTTTCGAACTGCGAGAGCAACGAGAAGTTTTACGAGCAGAAAACTTTACAAACACAAACAAAGAGGAAAGGTCCAATTCAAGCAGCCTTAGGGGTAGGACATGCCTAGCTTGCAGAGTAGAATTATTTAATAATACGTTCGTGCTTTGCGATATGGCAGGACCAGGGCGTGTGCGTTGCCAACAGAGGGTTGATATTATGCGGTACCATACCCTGCCAGCAACGACGCAACCACCATGAGAGGGTGATATTGTCTGCGTGTTGGGTTTATAGTTGCCTGACTTCCGTGCTTGGCCCATTAAAGCTCAAATTATTTTACAACCTGCATCGACGTCGCCTGGAAAGTTCACCGGTCAATCCACAAAATAGTCTCGATGATAAAAGATAAATGAAAAATCTGATATTTCAATGAAAATTTTTTAAGACAAGATATATCACACGAGATAAAGAAAAATATCGGAACTAATATATATTACAAACGACAATATAAATGACACGAAAAGTATTGTACCTTTTGTTTCTGCGTCCTTTTAGTTTTGGAAGCTGTAACAATTCACGGTTTGACAGGGCCAATAAAGTTTGGCAATCTTTCTACGATCAGCGAGAAAAAGTAAAATCCCTCTTTTTGCCTCCCTTACGGCTGATCAGTATTTTCGTATCGTAGTAGATCGCCGCCAAGGGACCCCTAAAAACTGCGAATGTACTTTGAACGCGGGCGTCATAACAAATTTTGATTTCTTGCAAGACCCTCAAGAAGGGGGCTGGTTGTAGAATGGTCTTAGGCCGGCGTCAGCGGAACAGAAGAGGGTACCAGGGATCGCTGCCGTATTTCCTTTCTTTTTTCTTCTCTTCCGTCTTCTCCGTTACGGTTTTACATACATAATTTATTCCATCGCAGATTAAGGTATTTGGATGCTTTTGCATGGGGTGCCGAAACATATTACACGTTGCACAAGGACGAGAGGAATAATAAATGTCCAAGATGCCTGTCACCGATAACACGTGTACCAATCTACGGTTCCTGAAAAACGGATGTTTGCGATTTTCCTACTTTTCCTGGAAAGTATACGCGTCGTATGTAAGGGTCGTTGAACCAACTAATACTAACGGATCTTCAACGGACTGACAAGGAACAAGGAATTCTTGAAGGGATTTCAAATAAAACTATCGTAACTTATTTTTTTTTTAAGAGACACTCTTGCCGTCTGTCTAATGACTCAAGACGCTTCTCCAGATTCTAAAAATACATTTCTTAAGCCGGTCAAAAACGGCGTTACCCTTGCGTCGATCCGTAACGATGCTGACAACCGGCCATTGTCCAAAGTCACTTTGAACGGCAGTGATAAATTTGGTTAGGTACTTCTTCCTTGGCTATATTGGGATCAAACGCTCTTCTGCCATTCCGCTGCGAAGAGCTTTGCAATTCAGTTTTGTCTTTCTTTATTTACGTCCTTCGGTTTTATCTACCTTTATTTTCAGTCGTTAATCGTTATTCAGGTTCCCGGGAAAAGTTTGCGTGCGAGACTGTCCGATGAGGCTTGGCCGCTAATTGGAAAAACGATAATTTATCGGCTTTATGAATGCCTCGGTACGTGTTAGACGTTTCCAAAGTCTTACATTTTTACTTTACTTGCCACCAAAACTTTTCTATACATTTATACAGATATACGATACTCTATGTCAAATATTTTGCAGTTAACGCGATTCAATGCTTCTTCTCGTAATAAATTCTTATTGCGTTATTATTCAGAAAAGTATCTCGATTTATGAAAATTGCACCCCGAAACACGTAGGGTAGCGAACGTATGAATAATAAATATTGAAATACAATCTACATGATATTCATAAGTTTAAACGTCACCGCACTGATCGAACATCTTCCAATTCGGATGAATTAAGTATAAGATACACCCTAAAATATAAATATCGATACATTCCTGGAAAGTTTGACTTATCAAAAGGTGTAGTTCAACTGTGAATGATCCATAAAGTTTCGGCACTAAAATCTCCCCAAAAAGTCTATTTATAAATCATGAATAAGACAAAACTAATATAATTAATAAAAAAAAAAACACTGAAAACCCTTTTTGAACCTACAATAATCAATTAATCCAAGAATCGTCTTCTAGTAATTGCGCAATATTATTAAAAAATAATATCGTTTCAAGTAGTAACTAGGCTACCACCTCCTCGTCTATGTATCATGAAATGGCTAATAACTTACGTCTTATCTCGGCCATTCACTCTGTTACATAACCGTTATACGGCAAGTAATATGATAAGACCCTTTGGTTGCCGAAGATAGAGCATCAAGAACATCGGCAGAGAGAAGAGCATCATCTTGGTAGAGTCTGAACAATCGTCAGGGTTAACACTTATGAATGTATTGTCTCACGAGTGGTGACAGGAACCCTAGTTTCCTTCAGGTCTTACATGCTCCGTTGAGTCGCATAAGAGCAACGCTTAATTATGCGTTAAATGAGACAACTGCGCCCAAGTAACAAAGTAGCAAACTCTCCTCCCTTTGGTAGCTTCAGACACGTCGCCTTACCTGATTCATAACGTCAACCGCAAAACCGCGAAAGCAAGCGGCATAGTACGTAGTGAAAATTTTTCTTTAATTTTTCATTTCAACACTGCAATATTGCATTATGAAAATAAAATACAAATTCAATATGCGTATGTAGCGATACTTACGGGTGTTACGTAGGGCATAAAATGCATGGCAGCTCGTAAAGCCATTATTTCCGGGAGTGCCGGCAAGACGCTACGAAAATAATCGACGCCTTGAAGTCTTCAGCGTTGCTACGTGCAGACTAAACGAAACCAACTCTTAAGCCATGGAACCGCAGAGTTTAGAGATAGGACCATTATATCGACTAAACAATCTCCAGCCGCAGCAGCCAAGTACAGCAACCGTCGGCTGGCTGGGTGGCTGGGGGATTGACTGTAATGTCTTATCCACCCCTAAGTTCGCGCCCTTATGTTTACCCTATTGATTATACAGTTATGCCAGGGTTAAGGCCTTCGGGATACCTTCTTATGGATCTTTAGAGACGCTCAACGGTTTGTATTATGAAATTATGTTTGTACGTAGAATTTCGAAAAATACTATGATTATATTTCACAGAATTAAATACAGCCTTTTAGGTATTTTTCTATTTTGAGGTAAAATCAATTTTTATGTTGCATCAAATAAATAAGAATTATCCATTTTTTCCACTTATTGTACCACGCATTGAACTTTGATGGTAAAAGTGAAAAAGTTCTCGTGAACTTGAAAAACGTCGGAAATGTCTATTTTTAGACGTTTCTACGCTAATGGTCGAGTGACACGTGATTTCACCGCACATTTTCCGCCATATGTTCCAGATTCAGCTTTTTGTGAGAACAGCTAATGATCTGCTGATGATATTTAGTGTCACTTATGTGTGAAGTTACCTATCAGCTATCCGAGAACGTTACACCGAGAATAGGTCCCTTTGCCGTAGGAAACATCTGCGAGGCTTGTGAATGACTAGTCGTATGATTATTAAGAATCACGGAAGTACCAGTAAAAAAAGAAAACGAACACCACATACCTTCGACCACGGTAAGCCGATAAAGACACAAGATGAGTATCATTAAACAGAAAAATTGAAAGTGTATCTCACGACCTATATAAAATTTTGAAGCTTTTACTTGGTACGTCAGGCAATTTTCCAGAGTGCCTCATTGTGTTTGAAGAAAGCCTTGTCGCCCCATAGGAAGCAAATACAATAAACCATGAAAATAAAACGGTACAATCGACCGAGATGTACAAGTAAAACGCATCACCCTGGGTATCACGGATAGAAGCTTTCCGTAAAATACAGCAATGGCGTCTTCTCTCCTCGGTCTCGTGAGAATACAAAATATTTTTCAAACAGCCAACCAGCACTCTTCTCGCGACGGCTGTGAATAGAAAATCAGCGGGTTACCGTGCCCCCGGCGGAAACTAAACCTCTGATCTCTTAACAGAGAAAAAAAACATCGCATTTGTCACGGCAAAGCAGCCTCATTAGTCACACAAGCCCTCCGCCATACAGCATATAGTCATACGTATCCATTCGAGCCAACTTCAGCATATATTACATCCGATCATTCTAACGCACAACACGACGTTATTACTATACAGTATAGATACCATCCTGCAAAATTTGCATTTCACATTGCAAGGGACGTTGTAGCACGTCTGGCGAAATGGATTCTTCAAAATGCCGAAAACTATATCCCATTTGTCCCCCGGTATATTCTGGGCTTGGCCATCACGACCCGGTTGAAAATCCATCCACTAAAGTCATTGCTACATTGGCTCGCGGCACCTAGACACTTTAAAGAAAGGCTCGCGGGGATGCGCGCTATTAAACCGTGAATTGACGCCATTCCAGTCTCAGGCGTTTCAAATAGATTTTAAGTGCAGAAGTCCAAACAATGGCGTCGCGGTATGCCAACTGTAATTCACGTGAAAGTGATTCCGCTCGTTACCTTTCCCTTTCATCTTATTAGTTGGCACCGTTCAGGGCAATGCTGAACCGTCCCCTTGGAATGTTAGAAATGTCCGTAGGTTTTTTTCTCTCTAACATCAACTACCACAGAAGCATGCTGTGTCGTCGATACAGGTCGAACGTTGAAATGACGATCGGTAAGAGAAATTTAAGAACCGGCGTTTTCTATACCGATAATAAGAAATGCATTTTCACAAACGGAAACGTGCTCCGCATAATCCTTATCAAGGATATATTTACACGTGCATCGTGTTTATTGGCATTGTTAAGAGAACGCGCGTGGCGAAATTGTGATACCGACGTCTTGCGAGTGGTTCCCATAAAGATTTATGACGGTCGGTACGTGAAACGCTGCGTGTAATAAAGTGGAAAAAAATGTGAAGGGACGAAAAAAAGAAACAAAAGAAACAAGTGAAGTCCCGTGTATTACACTTATACGTACGAATCGAGTACGGGTACAGGATGCGGTCGTTTAGCCATAACTCTATAATTACACTGTGAACCGACGCGTGCCACGTACTGGCTGCGCCACCCAGAAGAACTCCCATTGCAGTTGAGTTCTCTCAAGTAAGATTCCAATCTGGCCTCTCGATATACAGTGTTGTACATCTAAATTGAGTTATTCGTATTTTCGGAGCCCGCTGCATGGCGGTACCGGAAAGTGAACGAGTTAACGGTAACGGAGGAGAGATACAGAGATAGAGATTAGTGTAACAGATAAAATGTATAAAATTGCATAAAAACGTATATTGTCAATGGATATAATAAGTAGACAAGCGTTAAAAGTTCGAATTACGCGCCCTTGCAAATGAACTTCCGGAGTCACTTCCGGAAGAGTGACGCAATGAATGATATAATTTTAATTTGACGTGTTCAAAATTTTACGCGCACGCACTATGGCGCCATTCGGAATTTATGTTCGTATCGCCATTATGCATGTATATAATTTTCCTATAGCGC